TGTTGTAGTATAAACGGATCTCGCAAGGTCATTCTCCACAGGGATTATTAAATAATTTCGAAACAAACTAATTTCAATTTAATTATTGTAAAGTAGAAAATTGAGGTGATTGATTTTATAACCTACTTAAAATAAAAACGAAATTAATTAATTAAAATAAAACAATTTGCAATATTAGAACCGGGGAAAAAGAAAACAATTTTGGAAGAATCAGAATTAAGAAAACACTAAGGATTCCACCATCACCTACAATTCTATGAATTTTTACCAATTACTTATGATCTACACATGCCCACTTTGAAAGGTTAGGTTTCCTAATTTATATTCTACTTGGAACCTCTAACATAGAACGTATATCTAACTTGCAACCCGTCCGGACGTTGGATCAAATCTGAACATGAAAAACTCATTATGCTTTTATGAAACCCTTTGAAAACCTGCACCCTTAAGACGTGGTGTTCATCCTAAAGTGAAATTACATTTTCACAAGAGAAGCAGCGTAATTTCAGGACCTTCTGACCAAAATTGCATCAAATTACTTTTCTAAAGAGATCCTAATGGTAATCGGCATTTAAGACAATTAGATAATTTTTTATCCCGGTAATTAACATTCAAGTATGCATGTCATAAGCAATTAAATAAATCACATATTCATGCTAAGGCTCAAGTTTTTGCCCTAGCAAAAAGAATTGAAAAACCTTAAATAGAAAATCTCCAAGAACCTAGCCATTCTCTCTATCTCCAAAATGCATAAAATAAAGCGTAGAGAAAACGTAGACGGCCACAATGAATCTGCTAAGCCCCACACAAAACCCTAAAAAAGGTTCCTTTATTTCCATAGGAAACTAAAATAATAATCAAATAAAATATGAAACATAACCCTAAATTAAATGGTAAAATTCGCCTAAAATCTGATGACGTTTTGGACTAAGCTGCTCCAAAACTAGCCCATATAGCTGGAGTTTAATGTTTGGAATATTCTGAACTTCTCCAGAAGGCCACAACCCATCCAAAGTCATCTTGGGGCTCCAAAATGCAATTTAAGCCCAAATGTCATTTTCTACACTGCTCATCGCTCCTTTATTTTATTGCCAGAAATAATCGCTTGGTGGAAAATTTTGATACGAACACCCAAGAATGTCAAGTGACTCACGAACGTCCTCCAACTGAAATTACTCCAAAATTCATCCATTGGTCTGTTTGCTTCAGAGGAAGTCGAAAGTCCTATATTGAAAAATCAATTCAAAGCACAAAATTCTTCCAAATATTAACCAAAATATACTAAGATTAGGGAAATATATTAATATAAATCTACTTATCAGTTAACGGTTATTTTATTTTATTTTTTTAGTACATCGAAATTTACACCAAGGAAAATAGGAGTTTGCAAAACTACACCAATGAGAAACCTAATTTAGTATCGAATTCACTATCCACGAGATTTCGAAACTTAAGAAGATCTTTCAAAAGAGAACTTCTATGACTTTCTACAACTTTCATATTTGACCAATATTTATAATATTAGCACATAAATACGTTAAATGCTAGATGGCATAGAGTTAATGAAGAGTCTCATTTTTAGAGAATTTCCTAGACTTCTTAACTTGAGATAGCTTTAAATTCATGCATAACGAAGTTTATGGTTGGTTTCCAAGAAAAATAATTATTAATGGGTGGTTTAACAGAAGTGGTGTAAACAAGTGAATCTATTAGGGGTGGGTTTGGTTCAAATCGGTTCGGTTTTTTGCCAAAACCGAAACCAAACCGAAATTTCGGTTCGGTTCATTTTTTTTTGGGTTTTTTGGTTTGGTATTTTTTCGGTTCGGTTTTGATTTTTTGTTTTTTTTTTCAAAAAATGAAAAACATTGAAATTTTAAATTTTAAAATATCCAACACAATCATAATATAAGCATTCTAACTAGAATCAAAGACAATGAAAATAAACATTTAACGTTGAACTAAAATCATCAATCAAGTCTTCCAAAGTCCAAACTAACAACCTCACAACACAAAAATCGTACAAATGACTTAGAAAAGTTAAATTGTATGATGTTGTTCAAAGATCAGGGTTGTTTACTTGTAATAGCATGTTGACAACTTGATTAGTAAAAGTAATGCGTGGGTGGATTTATTTAGTGTGTATTGGATTTTTTCCATCACAAATTACCTAAGTAATCTACCCGAAATAAATGTTTATGGATTTTGTTACATGTTATATGAGAGTAGATTTGGAAAAGAAAGCTAGGGCAGAAGTAGACAGTGCTATGGAGATGGGTGTAGGTACTTCAGGAGGAGGTTTGGTTCTGGAACCTTATATGGGGGATAAATAATAGGTTAGGGTTTAAAGTTTTTATAGGCCTTTTTTAATATTTTGAGCTTAAAGTTTGGCAACATATTGGGTTTAGCACATTTTAACTTACAAATTGGGTTTAGAAAATAATACCCAAAATAAATAATTAAAGAAAAAAATTAATTTAATTAATTTGGTTCGGTTCCGTTTCTAGATCACTAAAACTGAACCGAACCAAAAGAATTCGGTTCGGTTCGATTTTTTCGGTTTTGGTTCGGTTCGGTTTTTGGTTTTTTGAACCCACCCCTAGAATCTATAGTGACACACAAACTAATAATAACATATTTGGTAAGCGTTTTTTTTCTTCTTTTATTACTAGGGACTTCTGCACATGCCATGCAGGCGCTAGGTTGCGAGGGAAAGTTATTGTAGTCAAGGTATTAAATATCGATGATATCGGAAATATTGGTAGTCCAAAAACACGGAAATATCGATGGAAATATCGGGATATTATCGATATCGATAAAAATAATATGGAAACCACGGAAATTGTAAAAAAAACTTGGAAATTTTTATTGAAACTTTGCAGGATGTTTATTTAGTCAATTATCTATTAGTTTATCACAAAAAATTGGAAGGAAATGCATTGCATGATATATTTAACTGATTTAAGTTGATTATATAGCGAGTTGGCAAACATTGTGAGTGTAGAAAATATGTAGTAATTAATGAAAGAAGTTTAAACACACCATAATCATTTATATATAATGAATTAGTACAATATTTTACACTTTATACATTGCATGGTAAAATACATGAATGACTTAGTATCACATAGAGTTCCTATGAGGTTCAAAATTTTCACTATCTTCATCATCTCTATGTGTAGAGTAAGTGTATTGTGAAGAGTAGTCATCAAATGATAAATCCCCAAAATAGTTTTGCATGTAATTGTTAACATGCCACCCATATGGATGATGGAATCAAAATCGAAACGAATAGACATATAAAGAGATAGAGAGAGCAAATCAAAAGGAAAAGAGACAGAACAAAATGGAAGACATTTCCAGTAGCTTCAAAAAGCAAGGTGAATATATTGAAGACCAAACCTCACGATCACTGACACGTGGGCTGGATGTTTTGAAAGCAGGTTTGGATTTTTTTTCTTCTCTCAAATAACACACACACACACACACACACCCCATTCCCAAGGGCAGAGTCCTCGTATCATCATACGGTTTCATGATTCAGACCTTTTGACCCTTTGAAAAGTAAAACACGTTCCTAATTTCCCATTAAATCTGTTTGGTTCTCATCTTCCTTCTCTTTTAGAAGAATCATAACCACAAAGTGAAACAAAAATTGCAGCTTGCACAGTCGCACCGCCACACTAAAATGTCAAATACCCTATCTCTTTCTCTTTCTTTCTCTCTTTCTCTCTCTCTCTCTCTCTCTCTCTTTCTCTCTCTCTCTCTGCGCGTACTCTCTCTTCCTCCATTTGCTCACAGACGGCAAAGCTGCAGAAGCTCACCGAGATCGGAAGTTGCAGATTTAGAGTTGCTACGCGTTTGGGATTTGCAATCGCCTAGATGGGTACGGTCTACTCGGGACTTGGGCTCGCATACCCATGGCTTGCCGGACCTAGGTTGGGTGTCCTTTGGGTGCCCCGGAGCTTCACGAAGACGAAGGGAGAGAAGGTTGACGCCAATGATGATTTTGGTACCGTCGTTGATGGGTGTGGGTGTGTAAATGGGTGCGTGAGTGTAGATCGTCGTGAGAGGGAGAGTCTGTGCTAGAGAGGGGGGAGAAAGAGGGAGTGAGCTGAGAGAGAAGGAGAAGTTGGCGTGGGTGGGGAAGGGGTGGGGGGTTGCAGGGAAGGGGAAGGGGGGAGATGGGAATGGGTTCTAGGGATGCAGAGAAGAGAGAGAGGCGAGAGAAAGATTTAATATATCACGATATTATTGATAATATCGATAATATCACGATATTATCGATAATATCGCGATATTTTGACGAAAACTCTTTGGATAAGCATTAAAATATTGGTAACTCAAAAAACCGATATTATCGGCATTTCAGTCCTTGATTGTAGTTGAAGTTACTAAAAAGAGTAAAAATAAGGATGTTGGAAGCAAGTGCGAAATTACAATTCACCCATATTTATTAGAATTACTAGCAGGTGCCCACACACACCATGTGGGCAATCTCATCTCATTTTGTTTTTCTATTATAAAGTGTGATTAGTTTTTGAAATTAAAAAAAACAAAATCAGTTATGAAAATTGGAAAAATGACGAGCAGTTTTTTTTTTAAAATAGATCATGATATGGTAACCTGACTGTGAGGTTGGTGTAAAAAAATAGTAAAATTTATGTTTATGTATGACAACCATAGTTTAAATAAATTGAACATTTTTTTTTTATATTTTTGTTCAGTTTTGATGGGAAATTAAAATAGTAATTTCATAGAATTTTGATTGACAACCATAGTTCTATTGATAAATAATTTAGATTATTGAACTCACTTGATAAGGAGATATGATGGTATAGAAAGATGTATATTTTTGTTCTAGTCATATGATATGGACAATATGGTAATTTGGAGATGCACGACTGGGAAGAGTATAAAGGGGAATAAGGGTAAAATGGTCAAATGGGGATGGGAAAGGAGATGATTGGATGGGAGGCGATATAAAAATATCAGCTTAACGCGTAAACCCACAACTTTTCCTTGTTTGTCCGAGACACACTCTCTCTCTCTCTTTGCTCGCTAATTTCGAAGAGAAGAAGAAAAACAAAGAGAAAAAAATCAAGGATCAATGGCGGATCAACTGACCGACGATCAGATCTCTGAGTTCAAGGAAGCCTTCAGTCTATTCGACAAGGATGGAGATGGTTAGACTCAGATTTCTCTGTCTCTTGTCCACCCATTATTTACAGTTATATTATGCATATCATTTACATGTTTGGATTCCTTCATCTATGTCAGATCTGCGTCTGGCGTTTTCTGATTTAGGATCTAATCTTTGCATGGGATCTTGTTGTAAATGTTGTTTGCTTTTTTAATTTGATTTATTTTCGGAGAATTGTAGATCGTCGATTTTGAAATTCAAATTTTATTTTTTTATGTTTTGTTTCGTGAAATTATTAGCTAGCTGGGTATGTGGAAATTATAAATCAGTTTGATCGATTCAAAATTTCAAATTTGAAATAGGTTTAATCTCGTGTTGGAATGGTATTAGGATGGGTGATTAGTAAAAATGGCAGTTAATTTCGGATCTCTGTGATATGATAGGCTGTGCAACAAGACCCATTTGTTAAAATGCCAACTCATATCAAGTTGCATAAGTATGCGACATAGGCAATTGATTTCTTTCTTGCGGAATTATATGGCGTTCTGCGATGCAGTATTTGTTGGATGCCCTGATGCGTTGTAATTTCTTACGATTTCCATGTTAGGCTGGTACGTGCTTGGGATGTGTGTGTTCGTTCTTCATTACTCTTGCTGCTAGGAAATTTAAAATTGATATGCGTTGTTTTTTTAATAGGTGATCGTAGTTGCTATACCATGCTTTTAAAATTGATATTGCACAACGGGTGTTTTGCATTTAGATTGTTCTTACTCTACGGCTATTTATGTTTGCGCGGTGAACTAGTTCAAAATGGGCGCTGGTTTCCAGTATCTCGAAGGATATGAATGCCAATAATTTTCTGTATCTCGTCCCAAAATCTGCATTTCTTGTGTTTCTTGTTGTGCTTATTAGATAGAAAGTTGTTACTATTAAGCATTTGGATGCGTTAGTTGAGTTCCTCATAAGCAAACATCTGCTGCCCAAGCAAACGACGCAACTTATTGCTGTTTCTAATAATTTTGTTATGCAGGCTGTATCACAACTAAGGAGCTTGGCACTGTCATGAGATCATTGGGGCAGAACCCGACTGAGGCAGAGCTCCAGGACATGATCAATGAAGTGGATGCTGATGGTAATGGGACCATTGACTTTCCTGAGTTCTTAAACCTCATGGCCAGGAAGATGAAAGACACCGACTCTGAGGAGGAGCTTAAAGAGGCTTTCAGAGTGTTTGACAAGGATCAGAATGGCTTCATTTCAGCTGCGGAGCTCCGCCATGTGATGACCAATCTTGGGGAGAAGCTCACAGATGAGGAAGTGGATGAGATGATCCGGGAGGCTGATGTTGATGGTGATGGGCAGATAAATTATGAGGAGTTTGTGAAGGTGATGATGGCTAAGTGAGATACACCACTAGTCGAACCCCAACTCTCTTAATTTGGGATTCCTAGCTTCCATTTTTATGTTATGGTTTTTGTAATCAAGCCTTGAAAAAGAGTATTAAGACTCTTGTTATGGAGGTGGTGTGGTCTTTTGACAATGGTTTGGCAGTTCAATTTGTTTTTTAATCTCACTTGTTTCCATTTTATGGTTTATTGGTAACCCCTTTTAACTTTGCCGGAGGATTCGTTGTTCTATGTTGGATGGACGATTTTCTTTAGGTATGATTTGGAGTTGAGGTGATTTTAAAAAAAGTTGGGATGAAAAAAAGCTGGAGTAAAATTTGTGTTTGGTAACTTAGCTTATTTTCAAAGTCACTGTCATTTTGAGCTTAAGAAGTGGCCAAAAGTTGAAGTAGTGGCAAAAAGTTGAAGTAGCAAAATGTAGCTTCTCAAAACCAGCTTATATTTTCAAGAGGCAGGTGAACAATAGAATTTAATGGAACTTTTACAATCTCAGAAATACCTTCCTCCATTTCTTCTTCTTGCTGCGCAAAGCTCTTCATGAGTCTCTTTATCTGTTTCTTCTTTCTCTCTCTAGAACCAGAAGCTTCGAGTCATTTAAGGTTCGTTTTGGCTTTGGATCGGGTCCTGTATTTGTATAAATCGGAGCCGTTTGATCGGCGCTGGAAGGGATTCCGATTTCAACGATCGAATTCGCTTTTTGTCTGATAGGATGGTCTGATTGGGGTTGAAGATGAACCCGCTGTGTTGCATTGTGCCGGTTTCGGTTGATCGGGACCGGGGCACCCCGGTGGCGTCGAAAATGAAGAATTTTGATATGGGTTTTTTAACAAAAAAAAGAAGGTGATTTGAGCTTTTCAGAGAGAGGATTTGGATGGAGTGCTTGCAGTTGTATCATTGAAGAAGACCAGAGGATAATGGAATGGAATAAAAAATGTCAAAAGAGGATTAAAATATCGTAAGAATAATGACTAGATAATGCTGGAATGAAATATAAAAAAATGGCAATAGTGGCTAAAAATTATAAAGAAAATTAACCAATATTTGTTAAGAAAATTAAATTAATAGCACATTTAGTATTATACCATTTTTGGTCATTTCATAGTCACAGCTGTTTTACATAAAAGTTTACCCAACACTATCATACTGCTTTTTTTTTTCTTTTCCAAAACACTTTTACAAAAAAGTTTACCAAACACTTTGTTGCTTTATTTCACAGTTTGTTCTTACAGCACAGCAGAAACAATTTTTTTTCAAAGCACATCAATACCAAACCAGCCCTTAAGTATTGGGGTGCTCATCACTTGACTTAGAGTAAATCCACCCCTAAGGACTTTGTGCCAGCACCCAGCGCATTTATCCACTCAAGTGAACAGTAATAGACCCCAGTGAACAGTAACAGACCAAAGCATCTGCATCCTTAAAAAAATGCGCTGGCACCCAGCGCATTTATTTGGAGTGTTTTTTTTTTTTTTTAAGTTTATTTCGGATATGATTTTTAACCAATTTTGGATAAAATTTCAAATAAACTTAAAAAAAAAACACATTGAAATAAAATTACATACTCATCAAATAAACTTTAAAAAAAACACACTAAAATAAAATTACATAAATTCATCAGATAAACTATAGAAAGAAAAAAATAATATTTTTTTAAATTTTCTGTATTTTTTAATAATTTTTAATTAAGTTAATTAATCTGGACCGTTGATCTTTGATCGGACGGTCCAGTTTAAAAGTAAAATTTAAATTTTTTTTACCTTTGGAAATCCAACGGTCTAGAAAAACTAGCCATTGGAAATCCAACGGCTATCATAACGCTACGTCGCTAAGCCCAAGTGGGCTGACACATTTTCAGGAAAGCCTGAAACCCACTCGCGCCTTGCGCGCTTGTGTTGCATGCGCCTGAGAAACAGGCCAGCTTCTTGGTCAGTCCAAAACGTGCTGGGCTGTTGCCTGGCATGGGCTAGGTGCCAGGCAACTCCACGGGCTGGAGCAAATGGACTAAGGGCCAGCTTGTTTTTTGGACTGAGGGCTGGGACATTTTTTTCCCGGTGGACTTGCTCTTAGGGTCTCAACTTTGGGAATTTTTTTACGGAGTTATGGAGTATTAGATATTTTGAATCTTTCAACGGTTAGATCTTTGGTTAAAATCACACGAGTCAAGATTCGACAGTTAAAAACACCGGGGTATCTACTATCGCGAAACACCGTCGAATTTTTGCTTGATTTGGAACCTATTTTCACATCCGAGATGAAGAAGGATTCTCTAAGGCACTTTAAGTATGTTACGTACATACAGGACTACTGTTAAGTATGGAATATGCATTTTGTCCTTGTGCCACCTCCTAGTCTGGACTTGTAACATGGCTTATTATGCCCACCTGTTTTTCTAACGAGTTACTTTCTCTGACATGGTTTGTTCTTCCTCTCCCTCTAGAAGGGAGATAGAATTCCGATTTCATTGAAGTTGTTCATTAGACTATCTAGACAAAAGATAGGAACGACATTGATTTCTTATAATTTGTTTACTAACTCATCTGAATTAAAATAGAAACAAACTTAACTATTACCAAAATGTTCTTGATTAAATTAAATTGTAAAAAAAGGGAACTGTGTTGTTTTCCCATTCTCCATTGCATGTTAGAGGTGCTTAATGGTTTTGTAGGTACAATTTTGTTGAGATTGAAGACGGCGGAGTTTTACTACTTTCATTGAGAGCTAATTTAATTCTCGAAGAAGCTCTCGCGATTCGTTTTGGAGTTTTATCCTCCTTGAATTTTTCTAGGGCTCCTTATCTTCGAATTTTTAATTCCTTGATTTGCATGTCTTAGAGAAAGAAAAACATGACTTGAAATTCAAAAACCACGACGAACGATACATTGTATGTACCTAGACATGGACATGAGAACAGAGACCTTTATGTGGCCGTGCACTGCTGCTCTTCATGCTTGAGCACGGTAGCTGGAAGATCCTTGCCATCACCGCTGACTACCATAACTTCCATCGCAGTAGTCCAAACCCAAGAGGTTTGAGCTTAACCTAAGCGTCTCGGTGTTGTTGCCCAGTCCACAACCATGTAGAGTCACAACAAGCAGGTGTTATCCCAATGAGGCAAGGGCAAGAGGCCCGGACGACCCTACTATGTAGGAGCTCAGCACATGTTGCTCAGGCCATTAGATCCAATCCAACAGGCCCGCGTTGCAGGCTTAACGCGAGTCCAGCCCGCCCTAAGGCCAAGTTTTCTAACTCGTATTCTAGCCTACGCCCCGACTTGCTCCAGAGACCTAGCCGCCCCCCCAAGACCGCTCATAGACTGGTTTAGTCGAACTAGTCACCTCTCCTGGTACCGAACCCAGCCCAGGCCGGACCAATCGGCTTGACCATCAGACCACTGACTAAATCATGGATTTTCTCACCCCATTTTTGGTTCATTTGACCCATTCTAGCTCAAATTCACATATGCTGTTATTACACTTCCACCACTCTTAAATATGCCTATCAACTGAGCTCTTCCTCCCTGAATGGCGATCCATTCCTATCTTGGTGGGTTGCAAACATGAACAGCGCCCTCGAGCAGCAGACCACCTTGGTAATCAACTCCTTGAACACATCGTGACGCAACACACTCTTGATGAGGTATCTCGATGTGCTCAAGGAGTTGATTCACCAAGGTGGTCTGCTGCGTGAAGGCGCTGGTCATGTTCGCGACCTACCAGGATACGTGTGGATCGCCTTTTAGGGTGGAAAAACTCAGTTGATAGGAGTCTCCAAGAATGGTAAAAGTGTAATGAACAACGGGCACAAATTTATGCTAGAATGGATAGAATCAATCGAAAAATAGGGAGAAAATCTTGATTTAGTCTCCGGTTTGACGGTCAAACGGGTAGGTCCGACCCAGGCTAGGTTCGGTACAGGGAGTGGCGATTAGTTCCATTGAATCGATTTACGAGTGATTTTGAGTCGCAACTGGGTCGCTAAAACAGGTCGGGGAGTGGGCTAGAGCGCGGGTTAACAAACTTGTCCTTCGGGCAAGCTGGGTTCGCGCTAGGCTTGCTTCGAGCGGGCCTGTTGAATTGGATCTAATGGCCTGAGCAACATGTGTTGAGCTCCTACATAGTGGGCTGTCAGGACCTCCTACCCTTGCCTTATTGGGATAATGCCTGCTTGTTGTGGGCCTGCATGGTTGTGGACTGGGCAACGACACCTGGACGCTTAGGTTGAGCTTTAACCTCTTGGGTTTAGGCTGTTGCGATGGAAGTTATGGTAGTCAGTAGTGGTGGCAAGGATTTCCAGCTGCTATGCTCTAGCATGAGGAGTGGCAATGCGCGGCCACATAAGGGTCTCCGTTCTCCGCTTCATGTTTAGGTACATAAGATGTATCGTTTGTCGTGGTTTCTAAATTTCAAATCATGTTTTCCTTTCTCTAAAACGCACAAATCAAGGACTACATACAAAACAAATAAACACCCTTAACATCAGAATTCTTACCGATCATCAGGCCAAGAACTTGATGTTACGAAGAAAAACATTGGAACCATTAGATTCTACCCTTCTTAGATTAGTCCTGCCCCTTGAAGCCACTGTGGTCAATCTGGAAGATACGCCACCATTGCCACTTCTACCACCAATGCAATGGAAGATGGGAAAACAAGACGGTTCCCTTTTTCACATATTGGTTAGAGTTGGTCAGGATACTTGGTGCCAAAACAGGCATCAGAATTTGATGAGAAAGCTCAATCTGATATGCTAGCACCACAGAGCAAGGTGCAACTGCCCAATAACCCATTTTTGCCTCTCACTTATGAAGAAGACAAGAAGTTCCAGCATGTTTTTGAACCTGTAATGGACAATGCAGTGTATCATGCCTCGTATTCATTGCATTTTTCCAACCATATTTAATGATGCTAATCATCAACACAATTTCCTGGATTGGCAAAGGAGAAAAAGTTAGGGCTGGGTTAAATCCATTCATTGGACCAAGCTTTGAATGTACAACTTTTACACGACCTTGAATCTTCAGGTTAACTACACATACCCTCTGAGGTTTTTTGTGTTTTCACAAAATTACCTCAGGTTTTCAACATATCAAAAGTACCCCTGACGTTTTAAAATCATTTCACAAAACTCATTCCACTAGGGTTTCGTTAATTTTATGCTAACATCAATATCAAATAATTTTATAATGACAA